ATGCTATGAGCATCCCTTATCGTGAATATGAGAGAAGGGATCCGGGGTTCCGATCTACGTCAACGATTAAAAATCAAAGACGCCTGTGTTAGTTGGCCAGTGGATTAGGGAGTTGGTCGGATTGGTCTTTTGTCAGCCAACTGTACGAGGAATGCTCGACTTTGTATGAATTCGCCACGCGGGACTTTTCTCCTTAACTGTCTTAAACAACCTCGAGTTTGGATATAACAGTTTATAGCAACAATAACGATACAATAATAATGTGTGATATTTGACGATATGTAAGCTGTGTGGATACGAGCAAGATTGAAATGGGAACAAGTGATACACTTAAAGAAAGCAAGGCGGACACTGGAGTTGGAGCACTGAGGAATTAAGGGACCGGAAGAAGAACGGACGAACGTGGTTAACACTTCAGGACGAGTGCCTGTGAGCTGCCTGTATTACTTTTGTAGTGGGTGGAGCTTTGCCAGAGAGAACTAAAGACAGTGCCCAGAGAAAGGTTCTAAAAATTTTCCTACTAGCGCAATTTGATAGCGCTACATGTGGAAAGGTGCAGGTGTTTATTCGGAAACTTTTCGGGACGACAGATGCTGAAAAGTACATTCAGCTGACTGCTGCTGATTCCCTTTCTAGCCACCTCCAAGGCAACTGCATGAAATGATTGCTAAGAGACGATTTACAGAATATGCAAGAATAGATGTATGACGATTACAAATAGACAGGTATTGTGGAAGACATAAGGTGACATAGAAATAGGAACTATTTAAGAATAGTTACTACAACGCCGTTTTACACGTTAATTGTCGAAGACAGGCCAGACAGAAGGCGAATGAACGACATTCGATGGACAGGAGCCTTTAGCGAATAGATTCCTCGGCATGCTAGAAGATCACCGAGCCGATCGTCAGAGTTCCTTACGAAAGCCCTAGAAGAGAGATATGCTTCACAACGAGTCCCTAGACCGAGCAGAATCTACTGGGCTACTGTTGCACGCGACAGAAAGGAATGAAAGATTTACTGTCGCCCGTTCGAGCCACTCGAGTGTCAACGAGACGTCAGATGATACAAGTGATCCTAGCGAAGTCATTACATAAGCAAAATATGCACTCAGTTCCTTCCGTGATGCTTGATGAAGTGGAATGTATTGCGCATCGTTGAGGTGTTGATTAACGTTGTACGATCCATGCTTTGTCTTTCGATGGTGAACGACATTGTTTCTTGGTGCGTGTGTGTAAACATCACAAAAAGTGTGGAGAAGATACAGAATGACAAAAAGAGAACGCAAACAGTAAAAAGTTGAAATTGGGTGGGTGCGTTCGGTGGCGGTCTGGACTGTGGTAACTCGCTCTAGAAGCAGAGATAAATTACGCGTTGCACTAAGAGACCGTCAATATTTTGCCCATAAAAGAATGAAGGAAAAATTTCTACAACCATCATTAAAAGTTTAACATTATATGGTCCATTTTTCTTTTTCTCTCCAACATTTTAATTCTTTCAGCAAGGTCGTATCCTCTTTAAAGCAAAACCACACGTGGAAAGGCTGCCTAGTGCAACACGATCGTTGGTCGAACTAGAATCTTGAAACCGAGTTCTAATCTTTTGCAGCACTTCATACGTTTTCATGAGCAAGCCAAATCTAGAAAGAGTAAAAGAATACGTACCTCCGTCATCCACCACGCAGTTATTGCCATCGAATTTTTTATGTTTTCCGCAACTGCATCGACCGTTGACGCAACGCAAAACAGACACACACTTAAAAATATGTCCACATATAGTGGATGAATTTGCTACATAAAAGACAACAATAAGATAGCTTAATGCCTTAAAGTTTGACATCCAGTTCTATCATCTTGTATCAAATAAGACCCCAGCCTCTTTAGTTCTCCAAATTCTGAACACGTTCGTGTTTCGACATTCACCTGAAGCGAGCTCTTGCAAGGTGCTCCGATAACTGAACGATTGACGCATTGCCCATCCAGAATGATCTGGAATAGCCCTTTCGTTTTATTGCATTATATAAAGAACTTTATTGTACTACACCCATAGTTCACTACATTGTTCAATTAGTTATAATTTAATTAATTTAATTTAATAATTTAATTAGTTAATTTTAATTCGTCATTAGAATTTCAGATGCTTTTCATAGCAATAACGTATACTTATTTTTGGTGGACTGATGAGACATCTTCAACTAATTGCACTCAATAATATGAAATAGTTAGGAACGGCGGATGTAGAGGTACATTGCAATACACATGTTATTGTTCGTTCGATCGGGTGCACGAAATTCGCTAAGCTTTCCGTCGTCTGAAAACTGTATCAGACTTCCCTGAGTTTTCACAGCCTATTCAAGGGCGAAATATGTATCGTACTGGTTCACCCCTAAAGCATAAAAGGGGTTGATCAATCCTTATCAATTCGATTTCATCAAGCATCACTGAGGTGATTGAATGCACCGACCTGTCAATGTCTTGCGGGAGCCCACCGAATTACTAAGTATTTAATTCATTGTTTTATCCTTCCAGACAAGTCTGCAAGGGATTTGACGACTTCGGTGAGGTGGGAAGCTTGGTGAGCCCAGGGTGCAGGATCAAACCAGCGATTGGTCCACATACGACCCTTCCTAACAGATTTTGGTATATTTCGATAACTCATTCTAGGCGATCACGTTCTGAGACTACTAAAGTTCCACTCAGGCCTCTGAAGACGTTTCAGAGATCACAAGAAGAACCAGTACGAAGAATTGCTGGCCCGCCTGCACTTCGCGGGTGGGTCCGTTCATTTCTCTTGACAATAAAAACTATGTAGCCAATTTTTACCCACTGCCTATTATTGTTAAATGGCAAAATTTTCAAATTTAAAGAGAAACTATAACAGAGTGTACGCATCTGGCAACACAGTCTGTATTCTCGAGTTCCCAGTCTCTTTTAGTGGAAAAATTACATTCTGACAATATACTCTATTAAATAAGGGTGCATGTTTGCTAGAAACTGCTGAAATTTTGTGCAAAAGGCGACTGAACATACCGTATCACAAGGTCTCCCAGAAATAAATAACCAGCTGGAGTGGCTGTAATGAGGTTTATAGGCCATACCATAAAACGGAAACGATAATGCTGCCAGCTTTGATCAATCCCTAAGGAATGCGCCATGCATTCGAGTTCATTAAGCATCGTTGGAGATTACTGAATGCATATCTGGCCATACAATGACTCGCCCTGGCCTGCCGATGTGTCAAGCCAGTGCTACTGTCCTGCTAGGTAAGTATGGTACTAATTTGCTGAACACGGAAGGGTGGAAGGCTTGGTGAGCCTGGAGCGCGGGGATGCGCCTCATACCACTGTGTTACACATGCGCCTGGACCATGCGCACCTAGCAACACAATCTGAATTGCCGAAACCATATCTCGTGAGTACAGGACAACACTCTATTTCTCCACACCTATGCAGTTGTATATATATGTATACATATCTTTACACATCTATCTTTTTTAGCGTCCTCACGTATACCGTGTGGACAAGAGCACTCCTTGCATTGCATTCGATTCGCTTCCTCGTATCCACCATACTCAAAGGTCATTGAGCTTTCTCGTGTGGCTGCCGCTTAAGGACAGTCTTCTTTAGGAATAACTTTGAGTACTGGTCGAGCCGACTCACCTTGCAATTTTGGATATAGCCAGGCTAGACCGTCCCAACTTAGATTTTAGAAAATAAACTGTTCAGAGAAATGTCTGGCACCAATTTCCTGGTCCATGAGGGGCGAAAATGGCGCGTGTAGCACAGTGGTCGGAGGCGCCCTGCAACACACACACGCGGAGTCGATCCCTGAGTCCATGGCCCACGAAGCCTTCCATCCTTCCGGGGTCGGCAAATTGGTACCAGATTTGCATGGGAGGATAGCAGCACTGAACCGATACATCGGTAGGCTAATGTGAGTCATTGTAAAGGCCAGATATGCATTTAATCATCTCCAAACGATGCTTAATGAAATCGAATGCATGGCGCATCTCTCAGGAATTGATCAACGCCGAAAGCTTTGTCCTTTCTGAGATATTTGCAAAACTCTGGACCGTAGGTGTCTATGGTGGGAAACAAACGTGCTATTGTCCTTTCCGGGAAGTAACGCATTCACCACCACACCATGCGGCTCCTTCGTTTCACCTGTCTCTCAGCTATTTCTCTTTGCCACAGCAATCACCCGTCAGCGGGATTGATCTAGGGCGCCCAAATCGGCATAGAACCCATTTAAGCTGCGGCTGCAAATATCTCAGCAACATTGTTTTTGTATTTCGCTTAGTACCCTGCCGCGAAATTATAGCAGGCAAAAAATAAAAAGGTATAACATTTTGTCCTTTTTATCCTTTACATGTATTCAATGAAATATTCTTTTACATATTGTGCAACTTATCATGAAACTAGGACGAAATCACGGTTGGATGAAGAACGATTTTTTAGAATAACACGTAGAAGTTCAAAAAGCAAATGACAATGCATAGATCTTAAAAATTGCGAAGAATATGAAAAATAAAAATTACCAGCAGAGAACATGAAAAAACAGAGTTTTAATCGAAATTATGTAGAAAAAACACTATGGGAGATGCACGGTAAATTTGCAGCAGCGCCATGGACGGCATGGGTCAAATACAACCTATCGTGCGTACGGTCGAAAATTAGCATCATCCCGCGCATTTGCCATGCAAAATTAGGCGCCGTTAGCAATATGTCAAATACGAATTGTGTAATGTTTCGATTTATAAACATTCGCACCTGATCCGATTTGCAGACTTCTTCTGTACACTTGCCACTAACTACACTTTGCCTTGACAAACACCTGAAAACAGCAAAATTCCCTCTATGCGCTTCAGTCTCTTTTTTTTCATCAAACAAAAAAAGCGAACATGTCAACTGCAAGGAGTCAAACTAAATAGTTAGCATGGTACTAATCTAGGAAGGAACCGCTCGTTTCTGCAACAACCCACTTATTGATACGAGGAATAACTTACACGCATGTGTTCGCCTTGCATTTGCTGCCTCCTGTGCACTCCTCGCTCAGACGGCAAACACCGCCCACTTTCACTTGCCGCATACATCGTCCAGCTACCATTTTCTCTCCTTTCTCACACTCTTAAGTAATGTTCCTCAAAGAATGATTTTCTAAAATTTCGCTCATTTAATGGTGATTTTTGACTATCTGGTTCATTGTTCTAGTTTCTTTGATAGTCAAATCACTAGCAACTAATTATGTAAAGCTAGCCTTCTCCTACACAACTAATTGCACTTGGAAACTTAGGAAAATTATGCCGATGACAAATTCAGATGTCCATTACCGTTATCTTCCTTGCTGCAGCAGATGTTCTTGTCGCTATCGTAGACGCTTCTCACACATTCATAACCGTCCACACACGTATTGGATCCTGGCGCGCATTCTTGTGCATTACCATCAAGAGCAATGTAGGCAGCTCGCCGTATAGGACAGCCTGTACAGAGTGGGATTTACATTCAGTTTCATTCATAGTATACGAAAAAGTTGAAGTTATAATTTTGAAATTTCTTCTGTGGTTGTAGTGGGCGTGAATAGCGCAGTGGTAGTAGAGGTGCTTTGGATTACGAGTTAGGCTCTGGTTCGACTCCGCGCGGGGTGCGCCAAGCCTCTCATCCTCTCGGGGAAGCCAAATTAGTATCAGACCTGCCTGGGGTCAGCTTATTCCCTCTAGTCCACGTCGGATCGCTCTAACATGGTTATCCTAGGACTCGAGAGAGGATTTACTCTGCCAGCATTTAACGACTTCACAGCGAAGGCGAAAATCCTCAAGCACGGGCGAAACAACACGCAAAACTTTCGAAAACTTTCGTGGATGATACATGCGAGAAAACGAATCTAATGCAAGAAGTGATGGAAAAAGCACACTAGATGTGAAAATGGGTTATGTAAAATTAAAAGAAAGAAAGTAGGTGCGTTCATGATTGCTTTGTGCTCTCTTTCTCAAGCAGCCTCTGTTAAGAAGAAATGTTGCAAAGCTTCGAATTAATGAAGCCTTGCTTAAAATTTATCATAATAAGTGAAAGAGAAACCTAAAAAGATGTGGCTTCGCTAAAGAATTGGTTTAAACGTTCAGCTACAAAGCTTCTTCGCACACTTCATTTTTGAGCTTCTTATTTCTGCACCTCCCGACGGTTTACCGCCTCATCATGGCTGGGAAGTGTTCCGGCGTGTCGGGCTGCGATGTACAGCGGCGGGATTCATCTTCCTGGCAGGATCTCCTAGGCTGAGAAGGAGTCCGGCATTTCCATCAAAAAGCCTAGCTAAGAGTAAACCAACACCAGGATCCACTACCGTCCTTGTATCAAAGTCGCATGGTGGCAAATTTCCCTCTGATCCACAAGGGCTGCGATTGCCTGTGGCGGTGAAGACTTGAGGCAGACTTTGGCTGGGCTGACCTTGGGATTCTAGGAAACCACAATGGCTTAACCAGAAAATCTTCGAAAAATGAAGATTATGCTGGGGCCCGCACAACTAGTGAAGACGGGCCGAACAAGTCTCAAGTGAGTAAGTATTTCTGCACAATGAAAACTGTTCTTTGTAAGAATGGCGAAAAACGTAGGTCCAGGAAGAATGAACACTGCAAACTGCCGGCAGTAGCACGCAAGGATTGTTCTGTCTTGTGAACAGTAGATATGCAAAGCGCTGATTAATGCTTAGGAAAAGCACTGCTTAACACATGGGACTACAAAAATGTTTCCTTCTTTTAGGTTTTAGAGAAGAGCGAGACCTATTGAAACGTCGGAAAAGTGGAGCAACTGTTGTACAACTTGGTCATTTCGACTCAACAAAGTTGTAAGAGTTTAATTATACTTGGAGAGGTTGAGTTTGATAGTGTCGAACTCAGGCGCTCCTTCGCCATCATACAAGCCAAACAAAGGGCGAGAACAGTTTTTGCTTTCAACGAAGAAACTCTGCTAAGTTTTATGTTTGAGTGCTTTTGATATAAAGATAATTTTTTCCAAGTAATTAAATTGGCCTAACTTTATAATTTAAGACATTTTCACTGGTAAATAGAGCCTTTCGCGCCTTGAGACTTCTTTTGAAGTGAATTTATTCTTGAGTAAATCGAAACGAAATAAATCGAATCTCAAAGAAATCCGAAAACCAGTTAATAAAAAACCAATTTTGCTTAGAAAACAACGTTTGTTTCGTGCAAAGAGTAAAACTGCTATGGTAGTGCACACAGCACCCGCAATGACGTAAATGAGAAGGGACGTACAGTTCCGAACTACGTTGACGACAAAAAGACATGTTGCCGTCCACGCCACTGTATCAGAAATCAGGTGGGCAATAAATTTGAGACGTCTTATCGACAACGACTGGACAACACTCATCAACGTAGGTTAAGACGGAAGCTAAAACGCATAGCAGGAAGGCCGAACCGATTGCTAGACGTCTTCATGGAAATCCAAGATTAACGCTATGGTCCTCTCCGTGTCTCTTAAGAGAGAAGAACCCACAGGTAAACTGTGGCACACACCACCAACTAACTAATGCAGAAGTCAACGACGCCCACTCTAGCTCTTTGGCGATCAACGCGAATCCGACGGTACAAATGATTTTAAAGGATAGCCACAGTGTTGCTGAGATATTTGCAAAACACCGTACCGCTGGTGTCTACGGTGGGGACCGAACACGGTATTACCCTTTCCGAAGGCTAACGCGTTCACCACCACACCATGCGAGTCCTTCGTTTCGCCTCTCTCTCAGCCGTGCTATTGACTTATAGGTACTATCAGCAATCACCCGTCAGTGGGATTGATCTGGGGAGCACAAATCGGCATGAACCCAGTTAATACCCTGCCACTAAAAATTAGTAGGCAGTAAATGAAAATTGACGAGACTGTGATTCATACCATATGTTCAGCTTAACTGGGTTTATGCCGATTTGTGCTCCTCCCGTTGACGGGTGATTGCTGATGGCACGGATCGATAGAAAACTAACTGGGAGACAGGCGAAACGAAGTACCCGCAAGGTGTGGTGGTGAAAGCGTTAGCACCCGGCAAAGGTAACGGTGTGCTCGGTCCACACCGTAGACACCAGTGGTGCGGAGTTTTGTAAATAACTCAGCAACATTATAGCTATATTTCACATAATACCATGCAATTAAAAATTAGTACGTAGTAAGTAGAAACTGACGACTTTATAAGGATAACACTAAAATTTGTACTAGATAGAACGACTCTGACTGAGAACCACCATTTCTGGCCATTGTTCCTTCCTTTCATTTCTGTTACATATTTTTAATATCTTGGCGCAGTAATTGCAGATAGTCATTGTACCTCCATTCTGACCACAACACTGGAATTGCGACTTCTTCCTCGAGAATTGACAGAAGAAACCAGTTGGACAAGAGTTTTCCTAAAAATATGTGACTTTTCACAGCCTACTAAAATGAAAAATTGTAAACATTAAACACTGATGTGGAACTACATACCTTTTTAGCCAAACGCTATAGATACTTAGTGACTGTTTTTAATTTCTTTAGGGAAAGTAATAGGTGAGTAGCTCAAACTATGCACTGCAACTAGGCTCACTTTTTCCGATTCTAAAATTACATTCCCATACTGCTCCTAACTTCAACATTACTGCATTTTCAGCTCAGAATTGCTTAAAAAGGCTTCAGAGTATTCACTGCGTAATTCACCTGTCCTGCTGTGCACAGACGTGCTTCATTTGTCTCACGGTCAAGAAGAGCGAATTGTTTCCGTGGACATCCATCATCTAAATGTGAACTGTTTCAGTGAATAAACTACTGACTTTGATTACCATTCCATTTCATTACCAGTTAAATTTGGTTTCACTCGAGGAAATAGTTGGCTTCTGCAACATTGATAATTTTGATTCACTACCGACCATTGACAACTGTAGTCGTATGGGCAAGAACTGTCTAAAAAGCACATTTTTAGGCCCAAATTTTCAAAATGCAACGAACCTAATCAACAGTACGACTATTATGTTTTGGACAGCAAAACGCTATACCAAACTGATTCTTTTAAGGGTGAACATTCTACCAATAAAGAGCACTAGGTTAATGAAGCAGGAAGTCAGTATGTGTCAATATTGGTCAGTATTTAGCTAGTAAAAAAATATTCACTAGGTATTTGAACATTTTTGATGAAATTTTAGCGCTAATTTTATTTATTAACTTGTTTACTTCACGTGATCCGTTATGGCATCTACTGTGCGGATCCAAACACTTCTTACGTTCGATTCGTTTTCTTCGCACTCATCGTCCACAAAAGTTCTCGAACATTTCGTGCGTTGTTTCAGTTGCTGTTTGAGGATGTAGTCCTTTGCATGAATTCCTTAGAATGCTGGTCGAGTCAATTCTCCTTGCCGTCTGGAGAATAGTCGGGTTAAGGCGTTTCTACATGGATTGAAGGAGCACCAATAACCTCAACACCTTCTACAATCTTACTGATTTATTTTAGTGAAGTAATGTTGACTGCGGAACTGTGATACAAGTCGGTATTCATCTGACACGGTCACTCGAGCAATGGTTGAGATAAACGTTGCCATCCGGAATCTTATGTTGCAGAAAAGATTTTATTCTCTCAAAGAAACAAAAAAAAATTCTCACGAAATGTCGTAGACTAACATGTCACACGAGAATCTGCACCTCAAATGGGCGTCGTTTTCAACCTGCGCATTAGAGGAATCAGCAGCTACTCACCGAGATCCACATCTCAGCAATTCGAGCTGGATAAATCTGATATACCATCAAATACAGGAGATCATCAAGAAAGGAAAGCTGATTTGCTTTATTTTCGAGAAATCGAATGCTTGAATCGGCAACGCCACTGAAGATTTCACTTAGTGTTCTAGTGGTATTTAGAAAATACGGATAAAGACTTAAGGATGGGATTCGATTTGATCAAAGATGAGCATGAAGTCCATTAAAGAGACCATCGAGCAAATGATAGACAAAGAATTTCGTGCTCAATTGTTCAAGTCTGGAAATTTCTTAACTATTTTTTTAAGTAAAACGAAGGTAAGAGGGTGTTTGGAGATGTCCTGGAACACAAGTAATACACTGATTCAACCACTCTTCAAACCAACAACCAGATTTTCCATGCCTCCAAGGTTGCAAATTGTTCCAAGATTTCCTTTGTAAAACATCCTCTGATATATAAAAGCTATTGACTACCTGTGGTCAAAAAATGGGAAAGCTCCGGCACAACTATGTTTGAACTACAAAGGCAATCAGCTCGACCAACATTCAATGACGTTCATAAAGAAGACAAGGTCCTAAAGTGCTAGCCGAAACCAAACTCAAATTGACCTTCATCGATGACTGATGCGAGGCGAAGAAATACGAGAAGTAGATACGAGACGAACCGAATGGGAAAAGTGCTAAGATCTAAACAATATGTGATGTAATTCCATACGAATAAATATTCAAGATTCTTAACCGTTTTATTTTTTACTGCCTACTACTACCCAGAGTAGGCAGTTAATAAAACGGTTATGAATGTGATTATAACTAAAGCCTCAGCTTAACTAGGTTCACTGCCGATTTGGACTCCCCAGATCAATCCCACTGACGGATGATTGCTGATGGCAGAGATCGATAGAACTAGCTGAGAGACAGGCGTAATGAAGGACCCGCATGGTGTGGTGGTGAACGAGTCACTCCACGGAAAGGACAATAGCGCGTTCGTTCCACACCGCAGACACCTGCGGCCAGGAGTTTTGCAAAATATCTCAGCATCGTTGAAGTTATATTCAAAATGCTTCCAATGGGACAGCTTCGAACCCACCGAACTCTCCAAGCCTCTCATCACTACGAATGTGGGAGGTGGTACCGGACTTGTATGGGGCCTGATCACCCCCTCTAATCCACATGGGAAAGCCTTGGCATGGCTCTACGAAGATCACAGAAAAAATCTACTCGACTAGCCATCAAAACATTCATAACAAAGACCAAAATCTTCAAGCATCTGTCGAGCCCAAATGTAGGAAGTTCGAAGATCTTCGTGTATGGTGGATACGAGGAAGCGAGTGGAATGGAAGAAGCGCTGGGATCCAGACAGTGTTATACGTCTGATGTCGGGTCATGTGATTACAATAAACTAAAGCATCTGTATGATTTTATGTATGGGAAACTTCGAAACGAGAAGTAAATGTGGTAATGTAGCGGATTTTTGCCACTCACCACTAACGTCAAATGGATCACAATTTTTCACCTCATTGTTGACTGTGTAGGCGACATGGCCAGGAGGACAGCCGTCTGTAACAGTTGAATATTTTACACGACCATAGGATCAACTAGACTTCAGTAGTCCGAGATGAAATAAAAATAAACTTCAATACATGTAATTCAGCGATTCAGTTCTGCGTTTTATCTTAAATAGGCTCTCTACTGTTGAGAGTGGTAGCGCGTTGAGGAAATGAAGCATATTTTAGAACAGCGGTGGTTAACTAATCCGTGATAGTTTCATATTTTCACAGCAATTGAATATTCTCCATTCCAACGCCAAAAATACAAAGTAGTCCGTCACTTCGACTAGTCGCATAGCTTTTGAATCTTTTGCACTCCACGTAGAAAATGCTGTGAGGAACGTGCTATCGATTGGTTGGGGATCGATAGCTATGCAATGAGATGAACAACAATACAAGAAATTGACTACAGGTTAATTTCGAATGATAATAAAAGTTAATAACTTCTAATTTCCAGCTATCATAACTCATACCGGTCGCTATCTCTTTGTTTACGACAGCACAACAGAAATGGTTGGTTGTTTCAAGCTGTTGCCGACACGTGAAACCCTAAATACTGTGAGAAAATTGGGATAAAAAAGGAGAAACACGTGAAGAAACTGTGATCAAAACAACTGAAAAAAGACCGAGTTTATAGCAGTTAAATTTTTGGGGAAAATTTCATACTGTAAGACCTGTCCTTGGAATAATTCAGACAAGACGCAGAACTTTTCTTTGCAGAGTCTGTACCTGTGGACAGAACCCATAACCTTCACTTAAGCACGTCGTCGGCATCTGTGTCCTCTCATCGATGTGGAACTTCGTTCCACCAGGACAAATAGCTAAAAGTGTTTCGAATTTGGTCCAAACAATACGTTCCTATCAAAAACAAACATATTATCTGAAGTGTACTTTGTTTCGATGTATTGAATAGGAAATTGGCAAGATTCAGCACCACTATAAATCGTAGTAAAGAGAAAACACTACCCACGATTTTGGCTGCAGCAGTAGCCCTGAAAAGCATTTGGAATTTTGCTTTGGCAGGAGTATGACGGTGGGCATCCGTTCCGACCATGGCCCATTTCGCACTGACCACATTCACTTTTATGTTCTCCAGTTCATTTTGAAGTAACTAATAATGCCTTTGCAGAATTGTTCTCTTCCTAACACAAGAATTCATTTGCAAAAACAAACGCCATCGACCTTCTCGATAGCTTGAAAAAAATCAAATTATAATTCACAACGGAGGAATGCTTAGGATATCCGGGTATGAAATCTCGATGGCTTTAGCGTGAAGAAAAGCTCTGCTGACCTGCAGTGGCAGATGCATATCGGCAGAGTGAAAGAGCGCTCGTCCCGAAGGGCATAAATCTGAAAAAGGCCACTAAGAGCGGTGTTTCGAGGCGGTTTGCAAAGCAGGGATGGGAAACGTTGGAAAGTGTTCGTTGTAATGATAGTCTGAATAGATGGAAAAAAAGTAATTCTTATGAAACCGTTTTAGAGACACTGAGGACAAGTACATACTTCCACTAATACTGGCACAGCAGTAGTATCTATGCCGGGTGAGTGAAAATCGACACAGGTAACCGGGTGGGCATCTGCCGTCGGCCGCCATCGCACAGTGACGAGGAGAGGCACTGACCGAATCCATGAACGCCTTTTCACCCACTGGGCAGACATCTAAAAACTTTTCAGAGTTACTCGGAACAAATTCTTCATTAGAACAGCATTAATGTTGTCAAGAAGTCACACGACATTTAAGTAGAATGTAAACATATTTTCCACTTAAAACATAAAGAAAGGATAAAGCTCTCGGCGCTGATCAATCCCTGTGGGATGCGCCATGCATTCGACATTCATTAAGCATCGTTTGGAGGTGATTGAATGCATAGCTGGCCTTTACAATGACTCGGACTCGCGGTGGCCTGCCGATTTATCGGTCCAGTGTTGCTATCCTTCCAGACAAGTCTGGTACCAGTTTGCCGACCCCGGAGAGATGGAAAACTTGGTCAGCATTGGGCGCGGAGATCGATTCCACATGCGTGTCGCAGTGACGCCTCCAACCACTGCACCACACGCGCCCGTTACTTAAAACATAGGTGAGAAAAATTTGGAACAAAACTAAAACAGATGTCTGCGGTGGGGAACGAATGCGGTATTATCTTCTCCGGGAAGTAACGCGTTCACCACCACACCATTCGGGTCCTTCGTTTCGCCTGTCTATCAGCTAGTTCTATCGATCTCTGCCATCAGCAATCACCCTTTAGAGAGATTGATCTGGGGAGCCCAAATCGGCAATGAACCCAGTTAAGCTGAGGCTTTAGTTATAATCACAATCTTAACCGTTTTATTTACTGCCTACTCCTTTCATTGGCAGAGTATATTGCGGAATATAACTTCAATATTGCTAGGGATGAATGCTGATGGAAAAACATCGATAGAACTAGCTGAGAGAAAGGCGAAACAAAGGGCCCGCATGACGTGGTGGTGAACGCGTTACTCCCCGGAAAGAACAACAGCGCGTTCGTTCCTTACCGCAGACACCCGCGGTCCGGAGTTTTGCAAATATCTCAGCAACATTGAAGTTATATTTCGCAATATACTTTGCCATTAAAAAGTGTAGGTAGTAAATAAAACGATTAAAACTAAAACAGTTCTCTAAACTATTATTTATCGTTATATTTATATAAATCTAATACCAAACTATGAGGTAGATTGAGAAAGTAGCTGAGAGAAAGGCAAAGCGAGAGCAGCGGTTGGTGCAGTGGATAACAAGTGAGACCCTAGAAAGGGTAATGTCGGTTCCAAAACTCACCTAGGGTTCCAGATTTTGCTCATATCTTAGTACTCTTGTGGTTGAATTCTACATTATACCCTACCATGAGAAATAAACAGGTAGTAAATAAAAGTTAAAACATTTTGACCAACAGTAGTTTAAGAGGTAGGTAGAGCTCGCTGATAGTGATGGAAGCGGAATTGGACATGAAATAATCGTTCAGGGATTCGATTCCACCCCAAATTGAAGAGGAACCTTTGTTATCACACAAGAAAGGAAACACAAGTTATACCTGACGACGCCAGATTGGACCGAGGTTTTTTCGCTGCTTAACTGCTAAACCGAGGAAGAGACAGCAGAAGAATGCGAACTATTTGTCAAAGTATTTCAAAACTGCCTCCAATATTACCAAATTTTTAATCGAAAAATTCGAATCCCATCTCTATAAGAAAAAGCCTCTCCAGTGAAAACTTAAGGACTTCAGCATGTTGCTTAAAACTGGAAATAAATGCAAACAAGAGAAATTCCTTCATGAACGTAAACAACGGTGCTTGAAAAATAGTCGACGATGGTCGAAAAAATTAGCGATCAGGACACCTGTTGTGAAAATCTGCACATGTGATATTGGCGGCCTTTTCTTTTCTAGATGTTACTGTTCTAGGCGGAATTCCTTAGCAGATCAGTTTTCGAGCTTTATGTTCTGTTTTTAAAAACAGTTTGTTGAATTTTGCTATATTCTTCTGTTTAAAATGTTTTACAGACTCAGGAAAATCGTCCTCAAGTTAACAGAAAGCATCATCTTCTACACGCGTTTGTGCAAAACTTTAATGCGGGTGAAATTTCTTTGATGCTTTGTCAAAACTTTGATGCGCCAGGCGAGTTGTCCGGGACCTTCACATTCTACGAAAAAGGGATATTCTCGATAATGGCTTGAAAATGGTTCAATTATTTCATTCGAGATGATCAGTACATAAGTGGTTCCCCTCGGTTTGGAGCCCGTTTCGTTTTGATGGGGACCTACTGACAGCTGTTTTTGAAGAAAACAACTATTCAAAAGCCGAAGCTTACCAAGCCAAGAAAACAACCAATTCAAGGCATTAGAAAGAGATTAAAGCTTTACAGAATTACCATGACATTCATTGACCCATTCACCTCCGTCGAACAAAGAAGGGATTTTAACTTATCATTTACAGCCTATTCTTTTTAATGGCAGGGTATATTGCGAAATATAACTTCAATGATGCTAAGATATTTGCAAAACTCTGGATTGCAGGTGTCTGCGGCGGGGAACGAACGCGATCACCCGTCTTCGTTTCGCTTCGTTTCGCTTGTCGAAGGACCCGCATGGTGTGGTGGTGAACGCGTTACTCCCCGGAAAGGATAATAGAGCGTTCGTTCCCCACCATAGACACCTGCGGTCCAGAGTTTTGCAAATATCTCAGCAACGTTGTGGTTGTATTTCGCTTAGTAACCTGCCATGAAAATTATAGAAGGCAGAAAACAAGACGTTAAACATCTTGATACCAGTCTTTAGAATTCCTTTCGAAGTAAAAACAATTTAAAACCATTCCAGTACTCCGCGCCAACTTGCTCCGAATTTCAAATCTCCAACGAACTACCCTTCTTCGAGAATTCGAAAGGACACATCTAAAACTACGAGTCGGAGAGATGGAAGTTGAGAAAGTGCCATCTGCATTCTAGGGATAAAACGCCTGCATAGGCAGTTACCCTAAGCAAGCGAAATGAATGGAAATTTGGTGGGAACTGTGGACAAAGATGTATCATCAAAAATTCGAATGCAACCGACCAAGTGTTCTTCGCTGTTACAAACATTTTCTGTGTTTCTCATAAGTATTTCAATAAAAGTGCTCACCCATGCTGTCCGATCCACAGCAGACGTGGTTGTGTGTGGGAGCATTCAGCCTGCACTGATAGTTAGCTGGGCAACTGTCTCGTAGTCCCTTATTGCACAGAAATGGACGATTCGTGTTCGGATCCTAGGTATCACTGTGTTATAAAAGAACTAAAAGAGTGATGTTGCCATTCAGGTTTTGAACATCATCATGTTGTGGTTGTATTTCACATAATATCCTGCCATGAAAATATGATGGGCAACAAATAAAAAGGTAAATATTGTGGAAGAGTACAATGATAGTATAATCACAATCATGCTGAAATATAAACAAAACTCGAAATCCTAATTAGGATCCGAACCTGCGGTTACCCTTCCGGTGTCACGTGCTATACACAACACCAACCAGGTCCTTGCTTTTCTTCCTGTCACTCTATGTGGTTCTGATTTCGACTGCAGTTTCGGCTTAAGTGGGTTGAATGGCAACTTTTGCAATTCAGATCATTCCTGTTGACAGATGATTGCTGATAGCACCGATGAAAAAAGAAAAATTGGCTGAGAGAAAGACAAAGCAAGCGCCTGGATTGGCGGGATGGTGCGCACGTGGGCTCTTAGTCCGGGTAACCGCGCGTTTGAAGACCAAGTGATGCTCCGAGTTTTGCTCATATCTCAGCATTACCGTGGTTATATTTCACATCACACCATGCTGTTAAGAAAGAAAAGGCTGCAAATAAAAGTTAACAAAAAAAGAGAATGATGGTTTGTCATGTCAACGAAGCAGAAAACCTACACATATCGAGAAACGAAACATTATTGATACAACAACGGCTGTTTTATCTCAGTGATTTGTCATCTGGAAAATATTCTTTAGTATCGAGATGCGATGTGCAGCCGAAGAATCATCTCCTAACAAGACAATTTAAGCTGTGAAAGAGTTCTAAGTTTTCAGCAGAAGGTCTAAATCAGATTAACTGAATAGAAGTTTTCCAGGCCAATGATTCCCTGCGACAAAGACCTGAGGACACTCGTTGTGGGTTACCTTTAGAAACAAAATACAGTACGCACCAACAACGCACTAGTTTCAATTTTCTTAGGTAGAAAAAAATCATAAAAATTATGTATGCATTAAATTTACCGCGACTGCCACTGCATGAAAATGTTGACGTTTTCAGCTAACTCAGACAGCCAGTTGTTCTGATGGCAATGCACGGTAGCCAGTGCGATAATAAATCAAGTTATATGCCTCATCATAGAATGCTAACTTTTTATTTTTTGCCTACTATAATTTCTCACTGCATGGTTCGGATGACCCGCATAGTGTGGTGGTGAACGCGTTAGCCCCCGGAAAAGGTAATAGCGCGTTCGTTCCTCATCGCAGGCACCTGCGGTCCGGAGCTTTGCTGGAGAGTATCTCAGCATCATTGTGGTTGTCTCATCACAGATAATAGAGTAAAAATGTGTATGGTTTCTTGATTCAGAAACTCATGGCTATCTTAAAGGAGTGTTTTAGTTGTTCATTCTTCAGATGTTTCTGAAGATATTATACGCAAATCAGACGGTTGGCAATGGGATAACGATTGGTGCCAAGTTTTACCATTACCTTTATGTCTGAGGTCGAAGCTCCATTTCTCATTCGTTGTAGTTACTTTAACACCGATAGATAAATTATTGTTTTGTTTTCAGCTCTATGAAAGAAGACATGGACAAGTGTTTTGAACTGCTGAGTACACACAGTCAGAGTACATAACGTTTAAACTAGAAAAAGTAAAATAAAACTAAGTGCTGTTCTTAAACGCCTAAATACCCCTTTTCGAAAGTGGTTACATTACAAAATGGTATCTAAGACCAAGCCATAAAAACATACTAGTGCACTAAATCTTTTTTGTCCCTCAGACACGAAAAAGCACTTGTCCGGAACATGTACCGAATAGCCACAAGAGTTTGCACAGGAGAAGAGCGAAGCCGCTACGATAGGAACGGAAGTAGCCCCCTCAAATGGCTACAAAACAAAGGTCACTAAGATCACGTGAAAAAGAAGAGCTAGGTCCTATA